TTCGGCAGCATTAGCTCTCAACGATTCGAAGCCGGCGCCGTAACGAAATCGTTGGCTGATGACGTTCATGCTGCTGATAGTCTCATCCACCCAGGCACAGTTCACTGCGCTTCGTGCATTTTGCTCTCCAAGATGCATGAGATGGCTTGGGTCCCACACTGCGGGCATGGCGAAAGCCTCTTCGTTATTGCTGTGCAGAGCCTGCGCCAGTTTTTCAGGGACACCGAGATGGTGATATTGTCCATCGCCCCCAAACGCCGACACTTGCGTTGGTCGAGTCACGCTCACTCTTGACAGACTGTCTTTCAGCTCGCTCGCCAGTCCTTCTCCACTATGGTCTTGTACCACCGGGGCGGCGATAACAAAGTTTTGAAGCATTTCTTCTGCTGGTGCATCTGGCATGACCAGATTGACCGCCGTAATGTCCACAGTTCTTTTATTCAACGTCACTTTGTCAGCTAGAACCGCGACACAAGGCTCGTTCCTAATGACATCAGCCAGTCTTTCAAGCATGACTGTGTAGAAAGCATCCCTGGCTTTCACCATCATGCCCGCACTGTGGTTCTTGTCGCCGATGTCCAGGCCACACTTGTTCAGCATCACGAGCAACCTCTCGAATGACTTGTGGGAGCCAGACTGCATGGTAACGTGATAGGCTGCTCTCAGGACACGTTCAGCAGCTACACTGCACCCTGCGTCAAAACGACTTTCTTTGGCGTTCGCTTGCTCCAGATGTGCCTCAGCCAGCTTGTGTTTGGGAGAACTGAAGTGGCTGAAGACTGTTGTTTTCAATCCTTTGAACTTTTGATGGAGCTTCTTCCCGGAAGGGAACTGTACACCACACCCAAAGTCATACTCAAAAACGCCAGTCATTTTTTTGACGGCTTTTTCTGGAGCTGTGACACATATGCTGCAGTACAGTAAGTTCTTATCAGGACAGCTGATCAAGTGTCCACCAGATGCAGTCTGCAGGGTTTTGATGCACCGTGCCGCACGAAAGAGAATGGCACTGTCGCTTCCAAGGTCATCAGTTTGTTTTGTTCCCATGTTAGGATCGCTCGGCTGAAGATGCTTCAGTATGCCATCGAGTTTGCGGTTAACAGCGTTAATCGCGTTAGTGTTCCTATCCACCGCATCTCGCAGGATCTGTTCCCCTCTGTGACATGCCGGCTGTTCCGTTCCAGAGTGTTGTGGCGGCTGGCAAGCTGATGGAGGATCAGTCAGAAGCATCTCCACTTCCTTTTCTGTAACCGATGCTGCAGCATCGACCACAGTTTGCTGCTCCTGTGATACAGACGGTTCATCGATGGCCTCCTCTTCAACGTGTTCTGCACGCGGCGTCGGTGCGGCATAGCTATCCGCCTCTTGCTGTCTTTCCTCATCCTGCAGCAGCTGTTGCTGCCGCTGCTGCTGGTGTGGCTGCTGTGGCTGCGGTCTATTCTGCTGTCCATGATGAGATACATCCTGCTGCTGTTGTTCGTCCTGCTGTCCATCCTCTTCCTGCTGTTGTTGCTCCTGCCGCTCTGGCAGCTGATGATGCTCTCCCTGCTGCTTCTGCTGCTGCTGCTGCTGCTGCTGCTGACGGTGCTGCTGCTGCTGCTGCTGCTGCTGCTGACGGTGTTGCTGCGATGTTGCGGTTGCTGAAAAGAACACGTAACGTGCGAATTAACCGGATATGCGCCAACTAAAAACTTTTTCCTTAAATAGCCAAAGCAATACAAGACATTTTATTGCATGGCTGATCTGATATGTTTTCAGCGGTAATAGCTGCTTTGTGACAGTGTCATTTAGAAAGGTTGCCAGACACTGTCCTTTGAACAGGGGCGGATCATCCAGCATTTCCATAGAGGGGGCAGTCAGCAAAGGGGCGGCAACTTTTCCGCCACGGGAGCGGCATTCATAGGGTCTGCGAGGGCGGCACTATGACTTCAGAAGGCGGAACTATGATTTCAGAGGGCTGCACTACAACTTCCGAGGGCAGAATTATGACTTCCGAGGGCGGTACTATAAATTCCTAGGGCGGCACTACTACTTCGAAGGACAACAATGTGAATTTAATGGCGGTACTTCGACTTGATGAGGCGGCACCCTACTGCAGGAAGAGAAGCGACATACTCTGATGGTTAAATATAAATTCAGAGAGTTATTACCAGAGATTAGGTATTATTAAATGAACTTAAAAGAAATGCTCATTTTCGTAAAATGCACTCCACCGCTTATTGAAAAAATGCCGCCCTCCGGCGCCGAAGGGCAGCATTTTTTCGATAGGCTAGGGGCTTCGACCCCCAGAAGCCAACCTGGATCCGCGTCTAGGGTACTTTCCGCTTCGCATACCACTCCCAAGAACCTCGTTACCTATGACCAATGCACGCAAACATGTCGCTTTAAAGATGGCACGATTGACGGTAATACTAGGTATATGAAATAATACAAGCAGAACAGCTTTTAAAACAGGATAAATGTTCTAAACCTCATTGGCCGAGGGGGACGGGTGCTGACCACTCCCCCTCGGCGGGGGCATATGCAGAAAACCGATAGATACATCGGAAGTTACAAATAAAGCTAGTGATTTTTGGATCAGCGCCAACCGGAGCGTTAGATATTGTAGTGTCCGTGTCGTCATCCGCTTACGGAATAGAACCTAGTGAAAGACTTCTGAGCGCAGCTGCGCGAATTTTATCCCCGATTCTAAGCTAAAAAAAGGAGCCGGATGATGCATTTCCGTTAAGCACGCGTGTAGTTTTATAATAACGATAAGTCTGTTTTATTTCACACAGATGTTATTTGTAGCCGATGGCTCTATTTCATTTTATAATATTGGCCTCAGATCCCAGAAACAGGTCCTGACCGCAACCGCCCGAACTCAAATTTCAGACATGCGGCAGAATCCATAATCGAGCGCTGTTCAATCGGAAAGCCGGAAGAGACTTGTCCTGCTTATCTACTTCACCGAGCCTGCAACGCTATCACCACCTCTGACCACAAGGCTCTGCCAAAAGCAAATAGTAAGCAAAAAGCGAGCGACGATGCCGAAGCGAGTCACGCCGGTCGACTGGATATTTCCATACTAGGGTGCTTGGACGTAGGTCAAGAATCAAAAGCAAAGAAGATGTGAAAAATGTATATGCGTTGTTAAGCTTAGACGAGTGCAACTAAATCACAAAACATTCCAGAAATGCAGTTTTAAGATGATTCTGGCTCTTTGCAGGCGCCTGTCACGTGAATTGAGCTCTTTTTAAGGACACTAAATGTAGGTAACGCATCAAGTGGAAATGCGATCAATATGTATAACACCCAATCAATAATAACACCCATTATCAGTCACATGCCCAGAGCCAGCGCCCTCTCCGTGCTAAACCAAGCAGTCACTGCTCACAGCGACATCTTTTTTGCAAGTAAATGAAGCTCCAACAGCCCAGTTGAGCTGCTCTGATACTGTTTGGAATTTGGATACTGCAAACAAATATCAATTTAAGCAAAATAGAAGTGATATGCTTAGGTATATTTGATAACAAGATACTGACTACTCATCTAACATTGCATTTTCAATGCTTTCTACTTATCTGTTCACCAACTCACAAGATAATGCACCTGTCTTGTGAATGATGAGTCAGATCAGGGCAGAAAATGCATCAGCTTAGTTTGGGACCTTACATAAAACTTGCAGACCCTTAAAATCACCAGTATCTACTCATATCATCCATGATCAACATAACCTAGTAGGCTTAGCCTCAATTATGCATTAAGTGTCTGAGAAATAATACATTGTCGCCTTCATGACTGGCCATGAAAAATGTCAGGTTTGATAGTATGGGAGTAAGCACCTACCTTACTGTTTAAGTTGGGTTTTGGAAGATGTACCTAAGTGAAGCATAGCCAAATAATGTGCAGGGCAAGAAGCTTGGAGTCAACGAAATAAGTAATAAGCTGGTGTATCAGCATTGGTAATGTGATTGTTTCATGATGATGCTGTGATGATGTTATGATAACTTGTGTGACATTTCAACTTGAATGCTGACTATTCATACCTACTTCTGTTAGCCAACATGGTATTTAACACAAAAATAGACAAAACTTCCCATGGAAAGATTTCTTCATTTATATTTGATAAATGATATTGTCCGAACTCTTTCAGTATCATATAATAAGATAGCTCAGACAAACCCTGCATAAAAAGTGGCATAGTTATCTAGGTATTTGAAGACATAACATCCAGTTTATAAAATAATTTTACAACTTTGTGCTAGATTAAGCAATACCATCAATTATGATTTGTCGTTAAGGGTCAGCCAGCGGAGGGGGAGGTCACATGTAATCAACCCCCCACAATTTTGATTTTGCCTCTGTAATGAAACCAATATATAATTATAAAGTATTACATTTTTCATTTGGTTCAGACAATGAGACAATCCTTCATTCCTTACAATGAGACAGAGTTGTTCGTTAAAAAATCCCAGCATTGTCCGCCCAAAATCCACCAAGAATCTATGATTATTTATGACATTTCAATGCCTTCAAATCCCAACTAGACATCCACTCAGAAGCCATCTGCTTCTCCTCTATCTATGACCAATACCCATAGAACGCGCAAGCAGGTACGTACATATAATAGAGCAATGGTCTGGTCTGACAGGCCTCAAAATTCAGTGTAGGTATACCTAAGGCAAGGTAAGATAAGGTATGTTTGAGTCATGCATTAAAACCTATAGGAACAAACCAAAGGAATATTGGTATAAGTAAGCCTGGCGTCCCAGGAAGATGCCAGATGCCGTTGTAGGTTCAAACTCACCTGGGTTGTAGGTTTGAAGGTTTGTAGGGTAGGTTGTAGGTTTGTAGGGTAGGTTGTAGGTTTGTAGGTTGTAGGTAAGGTTAGGTCAGGTTAGGTTAGGTTTGTTTTGGTCTATATATCTCTGTCGTCCCAATCTGGCATCTTCCTGGGATGCCAGGCTTACAATATTTTCAGGGTTTGTACTTTGTTGAATGAACTGGTCAAAACTTACCATTCAATGATGATGAAGCTGGCCCTGCTTGGGATATCTTCAAACTCCCGTTGGCTCCAAAAGTGACGTTATTTAATGGCACAGGTCTAACTACTGTACTCTGATGCTTGGTCTGGGTGTGCTTCTTCAGGTTTTTCTGGAGTACTTCCTTTCCGCACCCTTCATACCCACACCTGACTTTTCTTAGACATGGATACATTATTGTGATTACAATACCATCACATCACCAACAAAACAGCACAGATTTCACCACTTGATCTCAGCCGAGCCCAAACGACGCTCAAACGCACTCAAAGGACGCTAACGGCAGACTTTCAAAGTCATTTCCGGCGCCAGTGTATAGATTCCATAAAATCTTTTCCGTGGCAAAAAATATCAGCTAACTCTCCTTCAACAATACAACGACGCCATGAAGGCCTCCTTAGGTAAATCCACAGCAGCACCCAATGAATCCTTCACATTTGGAAGCAATCTGGGAAGGCAGGCTCCAAAAAATCACCACTTTCTATAACCGCCTGTAAGGGTGAAAACCCGTTGAGTGCGCGTGGATATGCGCCCTTCCTGACAGCGAGTTTCTCCTGACCTCTTGCGGCGGTCAGGAGAAAGTCACCCGGAGAAAGTCGAGTGGTCAGGGTCGCTAAATTATTTTACGTGTATGATAACAATATTTGAAAGGCCTGAATAACAAAAACAAATGACTACATGGTGATGAAATATTTGCTGTTTTGATGGTTTGTTTGGCTCAAAATTTGCTCTACCACGGGTTAGAAGGAAAGGCAGTTTTTGGACCTCTGATCGGCTCATAGCTCAGACAGGGCCGGGTGCCGTACCATGTGTTGTATACATATTTAGGCGGGCAGACAGAGATGAGTTATTGGATTTAAATTCACCTTACCATCGGTTTCTGGTGGGGTTTGAAAATGGTTTTAGTCAAGCTCGGAGTGGGGCAACCCACTGGCGGATCCAGGGGAAGGCATTTGAGGCAAATGTCTTCCCCCACATTGGCAGCGCCCGAAATCGCTTTTCGAGAATCAAAGAAAACTTCACAACTTTTCTGAGGAAATGTTGGTTAATCACACTGCACAGCAGTGCGCAAGGAATCGAAATCAGAGTTTTTTTTTAAATTAATTCCGAGAAACCTTTTTGGGGTAAGCCCCCGCAGTGTCCAAGACCGCTTCCTGGATCCGCCAGTTGTGAATAAGTCACGGTCGATACCGAGCTTCGGCGGGACCAGGCGCTGTATACGTTGTTCTTTCAATGAAGAGGTGGACAGACACCTAGCCCCACATCCTACTGCTATGCCCGTGCTTCTGTGGGTGAAGCACTAAAGCATCACGGAATCCCACAGGACCTGCGAGTCGACGAGGTGGGCCGCTTTGGCCGCCGGGCTGCAGCTCCCTGGAGTTGCCTGGGACCGATGGCAAAACAACAGCTCCGGCGGTGCCCCTATGGGCCGTAGTAATTAGCGAATTCCTGTAATGTAGAGATCATATCCTCAATAATCTCCATTACCATTTTATATTCCTAAACAGTATGACAGAACAATTATGCTTGCCTACGTTCATCAGGCACTACCTCTGATGGTCATACGTCCAGTACAACATGTGTTGTCTGTCAAACAACAATCGACGACGGGATCTCTTCTCATTATCTCTTAACCCTATTAGTGGCAGGGGGGGGGTTGTTTTTATCCACCCCTCAGGTTTTTCGGGAATATCTCCGAAACCGCTGAAGCTACGATGCTGAAATTTTCTGACTTTTCCTAAAACTAAATTGGGCACATTCCCTGAAAATTTCAAGTTCATAACTTCACCAGGGGCGGCTCCAGAGCACTGGGAATTGGGGGGTCCTATTCGTGAAGCGAGTCATTTGGGCGAAGATTACGATGCTGCACCAGTTTTACGAACAGTGAATAAAAGGTATCACTTGTGATAACATATACAGTTATTTTGCATCCTCTTTTGACACGTTTTTGCTATAATAGGCGGATCCAGGCGTCCAAAAAGGGGGGTTATGTTTTACCTCCCAACATAGGTGCCCTGACACCGCCTATGCATTACCAATACAATTTTAGTCGTTCTCTCATAAGAAAATTATAACATAACAAGACCATTACCACCCTTTTTAGAAACAGTGCCAACAAAAACCTTATTTACTATACTTTTTGTGTACCCCCAATCTCAATAATCTGTATCCGCCTATGATTTTTGAAAATGCATATTTTTAGGATCCATGTGAATTCCTGGTTCATTCTCTATCGATCGGCAAAAGTTGCGTTAAGATTGGTTCAGAAACCTGGCCGTGATAAACAGTCTAAAATGTATCTGCAATTTGCCTGTTTTTACCCCCCTCTACCCCCCCCCCCTATTGACATTTTTTAATTTTTATTTTTTAGAAATGTAGATCACGTTGAGCGAAATCGAATGCCGTTTGAATTTTGAAAATCGGCCCGTTAGATCTCGAGATATCAAGGGGGGGTCGTAAACAGCCCCCCCCCCTGCCACTAATAGGGGGTAGCCAGGAGCCTGCCACTAATAGGGTTAAGCCATCGGTTGTCAATTCACCCACCCCGTTTCCCTAAAAATAGACGGTCAGATTCGGCCTGGGTCCTTACGACCCCTCTAGATTCGCCAGAGACGGGATCGGATCGCCGTTATTGCACCCGTCTTATAGTTCGTTTTTCTTAAGTTTGCCCCTCACTGTAAACGTCTTTTTGAACACAGCACGAGAATTGCTAGCTGAATTACTGAGAAATCTGGTTGGCGCACATTGATTTCACCAGATTTCACAGACGATCAATTTTATCAAATTTGTTTACTATTTCACAGACTCATAGCTCGTATTTACCCATACCTACAGCTCCACAGTGATAGACGACTTCTCAGGAATTATGTCTGAACTAATTAATAAATTACACGGCGTTTAACATTAACGTTACATCGTCTGTGTTCAAAACTTATTTGGAAAATATTATTCATATCTCCAATACAATGTGCGCCAACCAGTTTTCTCAGTAATTCAGCTAGCAATTCTCGTGCTCTGCTCAAAAAGACGTTTACAGTGAGGGGCAAACTTAAGAAAAACGAACTATAGTGTCTTTAATACTATGACAGCTTCGACCACGGACTTCGGACGGGGTGATCGTTCCACGAATGTACGAACCATCCAGGCCTAGAGTGCATCGAGGTTTAAAAGAATGCAGTCTGTAGATCAATAAACATAACAATGGTGGTATACAACCACATTAAAATATCTCCCCGGCTCCCGCAACGTTCCAACGCCCCTCCGTTATGCATTCGCCTTGTGTGTCCGCCGAGCCGGCTTGCCTCCAATGACGTCATCGGCCGGCCGGCGGCGTTCAAGGTCAAACGGCTGGTGTCCTTACCTGGAGTTCTATAGCCTTGCATTGAATATCGACGGCGGCGAATGGATTGCGGTCGGCATGTTTATTAATCCCACCCAGAAATGACAAACAACGCCTCTGATTGGCCAGTTTTGGCTGACAGACGCAGAATATTTGTCAGCAATAGAATACTATGCTTTAGCACGTTTTCAACAATGACGCATCCGTTACATTTACAGGTTAGGGCAGCTAAAATATTGTAATGGATCTAACATGTTAAATATAACATTTCTGGAAGCCCGTACAGATTGTTTCTAGTGAGTTAGGTGTTACAAAGTATTAAAAGAAATGATTGTTATCTGCTAAATAAAGAACAAAAGCTTTTAGCTACTAACATCCGCCTGACAGTCTCCAGAATCCTGCGTACGGGGACACCGCAGTCTCTGTTTCTTGTGTTATCGCAATGGGGAAAAATTGAAATTTTAAATGAGTCAGTATCGTGTTAAGAAGTACTGATGCTTTCAAAACTAAATGCCTTTCAATTCAAATTCCAGAATATCCTTTCGCGGAAATAGCCCTTCTCAGCCTGTCTCAGTAACGCTACAAGTCTGAACAGTGAGCGTCTCATGCGTTGCTCACGTATCGCGATAAAAAGGACGGTGTCATATAATCAAATGAACTTTTCTTATGCATAGAGCATTTGAAACCTCACACCAAACGCCTCCCTTCCTTGTTTTCCACTGCTGCCTTTCACATACCTTACCTAGTACCTACCCAATGACCGTTCCAGCTCGACGTTCCTTATCGACTGCCTCACATTCAACGGCCATATCCCACCTACGCTGAAAACCAATCGGAGGCACTTTCAATCGTCCCTTGAATAAAATTGCTACCTAAACGCATTTAGATTTTAGAGGAGAACGAGGCCCAGAAAAGGCGTGCATAAAACGATCGGTTTCGGCCCCCATGGAATAAGCCAGGAGGTAAAATCATATTGATTGAAGAACATTTTCGAGGACATGATATCTATCAGATATTATTTTGCAAAGGTATTGTGAACATAACGTCCGCGTATCGCAGCTCTGAATCTGCTGGTGTCAGTCCCATGCAGCAGCCACCGGACCACTGCCCCGCCGCCTGCCGTTCGCTGATCATACAGGCCGGCTGTCCCAGTGTCTCATCAAACGATCACAGCTGACTCATTATTTATAAAATGCCAAACAAAAACAGACACCCAATATTATAGATCACGCCAGCTCTTTCAGTCATGCGCGTGGAGATATATCGGTAGTTTTCCTATCACAGATCACACTGAACAGAGGAAAAGCGTACACACGCAGCAATAAATAATGCATTATCAAGTACACCGATCGATGCATCGTGGAATACACCGAAAAAATACATCACTGCTTTAACGTTCCCCAGCCCCCAGGTGGGTGGGCCGTGGGGGCGTTTTTGGCCACACCTGACAATTTTGTGCTTGCATAGATAAAACGACACGAAACTTAGCATAGCTTATGTATAATGCATCGATTCGCATCAATTGTGAAAAAAGTAACCCCATGTCACCTAAGGTCAGGTCAGGTCACCATGAAGTAGAAGTTTGAAACTCGAGCTATTACATGAGAGAATCAGTACCAGTATCTTGAATATCTTTAATTTTGATATCGGTGGTGACCTAGGGTCAGGTCAACTTTGCGACGTCTCCAGTTTCAGTCAGTATGAGGAACTCGAAATGTTCTGCTTTTGAAACAAAAGCACTCAAACATCGGGATCTATCGTATGCTCCTGAGGTCATCTCAGGTCATGTAACGCCTCCCAACAGTTTATTTTTGTACATCGATTTTAGATGGAACGTGGCCAGCAGAGCGCTAAAAGCATCATAATCATAGGCGGCGGAACAGGCCGAGGGCACCGGGGCACCGTGCCCCCCTTTGATTTTGGCATTTTAACATTAGCC